GAAGTGGAAAACATCAAAGGGTGCCTAGGGAGAAGTGGAAAACAAAACGTCATAGATCCAAAGAGTTGCAAACGGGGCAGCAGATTAATTTGGATTTCTGCAATGTCCCTTAAGCCACAGACACAATAGAAAATCCCCAACTCAGCAGAGGGTTCAACATTAAGTCGCCGTTTAGGATAACATAGAGTGAGATACAGCAAGTCTATTCTTTGACCTGAAAAGCAGGTTTCATCTCGAAACTATTACGGAGACATAACATTTGCAATGTGTTGTAATGAAATCATTGTTATGTAATCATTTTATTTACACATCTGCACAGACTTTCATTTAATTACATACTACTGACCTGTATTTGATAGGTGTCCTTAATCTCGGTCAAATGTGTCTGTAGAACACACATCAAGGGATGTAGAAGGTCAGCCACATGACCCCAATTCAGGGTCGGCATGGCAGCCACCTCAGTCTTAGCAGCCTCGGAGGACATACCGTCTTCACTGGAATTGAGATTAAAGTGGTTAAAGTCTGAGACAAAACAAAGGAAGTATCACATCATATCGTATTTGTGTAAGTGACAAGTAGTTTTCCAAGCCTCCTTATATTTTGTTATGGACTGTTTTTGAGTGTTTTGAATGGTCCAACTATAAAAAGTACTCTAAGATCAGACCTTTTTCTGTCTGTGGTGATTACAAGAAGCACAACAGCCTGAACATTTATTTTAGTCTCACTTGACCCTAACTGCTGTGTTGTTCAAACAAATCTCAAGAATCTTATTTTTAAAAATGAGTACTATATTTAGAGTAAAAACATATTTTTTGTTATTCATTCTGTACATCTATTTACAAATAACATCACATAATGTAGAAAAACAATATTCTTACCAATATCATCTCAGTCAAAAGTTTAAGGTCAGATATGAGGTAGAATATAGCAAACCAAAGTTCAACCATATAAAAGTTTGCAGAGGTTTCAGTTACGTATGTCACATCAGAATAAATACCTCCTAACAAATGCCGCTTTCTGATTGGCTGTTACAGCTGTTCCGGCTAAGTGAACTGCCCCCTCCAAGACACCTACAAGCTCGACGTACAGCTCCATCTTATGAGAACTGACCGAATCATCAGTAACATCCCTCTGGAGCTGCTGAAGCTGTTTCACAAATGTTGGAAACAAGTCGCTGAAAGTATATGGACAAAGTAATACATCTGAAGACCACTTATCCATTAACAAGCAAGTGGAATAGGAATTAATATGATTAAGTTGGCCTGACCAAAATGAAAAAAACCTTTATCTTTCCCATACTAAACAGACGTATGGCAGGGGTATATAATAGTTATAAAACAAAACAAGAAAAAATAATTGTGCAATTCTTGTTGAAACACAGAAAGTTGTTTTTGGATAAATTGATTATGCAGGAAGCGATGGCAAAATCAATATATAATGTCGGATCAATATTTGATACACAAGCACTTCTGGATCTGACAGTGTTCAGTGTTAAGCCCTACCAAGTTTCAAAGAATTTGCATGGAAATCGAGGGACCCCTTGACAGAAATATACAACAATGCAGAACTCACTAATTGCCGTGATAAGAAACGTAGAAACATGTGTTTATCAGGGTTCACGCCAGCTAACTCGGCCAATAACAGATCATTATATCTGATAAACACACACATCAATCACAAGCATATCAAAAAGCAATAAGTTGGTTCATCTTATTGGCTTGTATGGCCAGTACTTACATGAAGGTTTCAGAGGCCAGGCCATACAGTAAACAAACTTTGACGACACGTAGACTCTCCTTCTGTAACTGGTAACACTCCGACTCACCCAGCTGGAGGTGTCTGAAAACAATTTCAATTGAATATCATATGACGCTGCACATTTCTTTTTGGTAAAAAAATGTTCTTTTTAAAGTTATCACCTTTAAACCCTTTATAACATTCCAGTTAACAAATCTTGATACTCTAGTAAATACAGAACCTGGTTACATTGAATGCAGACAAACAAATAATTCATCTGCACCATTAGTTGTATCTAAAAAAAAATCTCTGTTACTCAACATACGTGTGCTATGTGCCCCAAGAATATTTTTTTTCTTTTTTTTTCTTTTTTTTCTTCTGGTTAATGCAATCATACAATTGCTATTGTTTTAGTTGAACACATATTAAAACAACATGCTTAAGTTCCAGATATCAGTATCTTTACTTTACCTTGGTTGATCAGCGACTAGGTACCGAAGCAGCTTTTTGTGTAGGTGGTGAGTTGATATCTGGAGGACAATACATCAGTGTTGATAATAATCCAAAAACTTTAAGATACAAGATATTTTG